ACCATCGTGTTGTTTATGAAACTACACTGGTCCACAAAAATCTTTTGATGGTCTTAACCCATAGCCAGAATTTCATCGACATATTTTTTACTTTAGTTCTTCCAGCCATTCGGTAAGGCACCATAGCAGACGGTTTTGCTCTCGGCTCCAACTTAATTCAATGATCCCTCCTCCATCATGTGTGGTAACTTATCCGGCAACGTTACGGTAATCATCTCTTTCAATGATCATTATAATCGACTCGATCAATCTATTCTCGTCATTATTAGAATATAAGATAAACTGGTTATTTAAACCGTGTATAAGTTAGTTTTATGGTTATGATTGTGTAAACCGGAACTCTCTAAGTATAAGAGAGAGTTATGTAACAACTTTTTCATTCAATGAGAAATAACAAAAAAAATTCTAATATGGTATCAGAGCGTTGAGGTAAAACTCAACAAATCCTTCGATCTTTCTTCTACGTTTCCCGACCTTGATTCTTTGGAAATCGCTTCATACTTCCGATTAATCCTTTCTCCTTCACGAATTCGCCCCGTTTTTAGCTCAGTTATGGCTATTCCACCAATTTCTAGGTCTCAATAGTGACTCTCCGCAAATCGCAACGTTTTCAGTCATCCTCCTCCATCCGGATCAAGACTGTTGGTTCACCTTTCTTTTTACCCCTTGGTGAATTTTATGGCCAAAAATTTTCTTCTCCCATCCGTCTTCTCTTCAATAGTTTGGATCATACGTGGTGACCCCTTCTCAAGAATGCAAACTGTACTAAGTGTCGATACTGGTATTGTTGTGACCTATTTGCATGAAGTCCATTACCCAACACCACTTTGAAATTGTCCATGAGTATAAGTGAAAAAAGAGGAAAAAACTTAAAACGCTGACGTTTTGTAAAATTCACTACCGTTGTGTGTTTATGTTGTTGTGGCCAAGGAGAGACGCTTCGGCTTCGACGCTCACAATTTAACCCTTGAGAGTCCTGAGTCCCCCCGAGAGATGGTATCAATTCGTGTCTTGTCTCGAAAATTTCCCACTTTCGCTTCGATTTTCTTCCAAAACCTAACTAGAAATCCAACAATCTATCGGATTTCATTCTTAAACCCAAAACCCAACACACTACTCCTGCTTCCGCAGAAACCTTTCACGGTCTTCTCTGTCGCTCAGTTCCATGACGGTAGGCCAAGGGGACCTCTCTGGAGAGGGAAGAAGCTGATCGGAAAAGAAGCCCTTTTCGTGATTCTTGGTCTCAAGAGATTGAAGGAAGACGACGAGAAGCTTGACAAGTTTATAAAGACACATGTTTTCAGATTGTTGAAGTTAGACATGTTAGCTGTTATCGGCGAGCTTGAACGACAAGAAGAGACTGCGCTAGCTACCAAGGTCACTTCTCCACTTTCTCGCGTTTTAAGGGTCATTTTTTTGTTAGATGCAGAGTTTTATAGAGTTGCTCATGAAGTGTTCGACGAAATGCCTAGGCAGAACTGAACATCAGTGTAGTTGTATGCTTAAGTTGATAACTCATCATGACGTTTTAGACCTTCCTTTATTCTTGTGGTTTCTGTGTGTTTTTAAAGTCTTGCTTCTTTTGTATCTCTTAGTTCATGCATTTCATTCCTGATTGGCTTCTTGAACTTACAGATGTTTGAGGTGATCCAGAAGCAGGAATGGTACCAACCTGATGTGTTTATGTACAAGGACCTTATAGTATCTCTAGCAAAGAGTAAAAGAATGGACAAAGCAATGGCGTTGTGGGAGAAAATGAAGAAAGAAAATCTCTTTCCAGATTCTCAGACTTATACTGAGGTTATCAGAGGATTTTTAAGAGACGGATGTCCCGCTGATGCCATGAATGTGTATGAAGACATGTTGAAATCTCCAGATCCGCCGGAAGAGTTGCCGTTTAGGGTTTTGTTGAAGGGGCTTTTACCGCATCCGCTTCTCAGAAACAAAGTGAAGAAAGATTTTGAGGAGTTGTTCCCTGAGAAACATTCTTATGATCCACCAGAAGAGATATTTGGTAGATGTTGAGGTGTGTGTATGCACAAAACTCTACTCCTCTATCTTAAGTGTTTCCCAAAATGTTCTCAGAATTTGTGTTCTCTCCACTTATGAAGTTTCAGTCTTTCGGACAATTAAAAGTGGTTGAATCAAAGCTTATTGTAGATCAGTATGAGTCTTGTATTGCACAGTGAAACATGGGAATGCTTTGCGACTGTTGTGCATTGTGCAGGCTATGAACAATATCAACAGGGAAAAGTTACCTGTTAGAAGTATCATCAGATTCGAGCAAATGGGAATATAAAATCAAAAGATAACTGAACTATTACAATACAAGAGATAGACTTCAGTTGTGAGACGAACCCATATAACGTAGAGATTCATATTCCTTATTTACCAGTCAAAGACCGAATTTTTGTCAAACAATAATCTTTTCTAGAAAATATTCTAAGTTGAGAGCTTTTTCTACATTTTTCTCTAGCCTCTCAAGTTCTTGAAAGGCCTCCTCTTTGTATTTTTTTCCTTCATGTTGGACGTTTATTACTGGTTATTAGCACACGTGACCAAAACCATATCGAATATTATGTGATCCGTTCAGTATTATTATTACTTAGCTTCACCTTATTGTTGATAAAAGCAAGAAAGATAAGTCTACATTATGGCATCCACTTGACGAGACAATGAAAGAACATTTTTAGTTTGGGATCAAAGATATTTGACCATTCTTTATTAATGTGACAGATTGACGCTAAGATCTTTTGAGATAGAGGGACTAGAGAAGCTCAAGTACAATTATGTTTTGGCTCTTAGTGATCAAGAAAGGTTGGAAACATGTAGATGTCGTAAAATATTCTTTCCTTTGACATCTTGTAGTATAGACATGTCTAGAAGATTTTTCAAATATCCAAAGAATAATTTGACCAGAGAAAACACAACACTAAATGATATCTAACTTGGTAAATCCAAAAAACCAAACAGAATTAACTAAATCTAAAAGCAGTTAAAGTGTAGTTTTTGTCTCTATATATACCCAATGATCTTGTTGTGGCTACACACCTCATCAACTATCTTCTCTTTTCTTTTGGTTCAGAAAATTGATTAGTATTAAGAAGACACTTCTCTTTAAAACATAAATTAGTAATGGAAGGTAAAGGAAGAGTGGGATCATCATCGTCGTCTTGTTTAACTTCTCAACTCTTTGGCCCCAAGGAACCTTCTTCCTCCTCCAACTTCAACTCCATTTTCCCTCCTCCCTCCAAGGTTCTATTATAATC